ACTTGCCTGCACTCCTTGGGGAGAAGGTCATTGGTGAGAATTGTATAAACATCATGGAAGGTGAGGTGGTAAGATTGGGTAACATACTGGAATTGTTAATGAAGGTGGAAGAGTTAAGAGTGTAAGACCCCCATCTCTTTTCTATTTGAGAGAATTCACTTAATGAGAAGGGGATACGTACACTGACCAAGCCATCCACCCCATCTCTCACAAAGGGAGAGCTGTGGCCAGTTTAGGCCAGATAAGGGGAGGTAAAGGGCATCCCATTGGCAGAATGGGAGAACTAAGGCCTGCCAGTGGGCTGAAAATGGGTGCCTGAGAGGGTGGATCTGTGTGGCATATCACTAAGAAGGGAGAAAAGGAGACTAAAGAGGCCAGAGATGGAGAGAAGAGACTGTGGGCTGAGGCTCTGCGGGGGTGGGGTCATTACTGTGATGAAAAATTAGTGGATAAATCATCTGGTCTGGGCTTCATAGCTAGGAGGAGTTGGTTTCCTTTGGCTTATGCCATGAGGTCACTTTTAATCAAGATGAGAGTGAAGTTATATGGCAAAATCTGTCTTTTCCAACCCTGACAAAGATGACGATCAGCCACACAGCTGCTTCCATCCCAATGGGACAGCAGCTAAGTGGCAGCAAGCCACATGTTTTCTTTAAAATTACCTATGTGTAGATTTTTAACCATCAAGCTCAGTGTTATAGGTTTTGACTTTTTGTTACGGATTTTACAGGGCTTTAATCATACCCAATATGCCTACAAAGATTTATACCTTAGCAAAAGTTTTAGAGAGTTAAACCAGAACCAAGGAAGTATGAGATGAGTAGCAGTTGTCCATATTGGGACTCGTTTGTCCCTTTATTTTGTTTTCCTCTCCTTTCTGTGTCACAGTCAAGTGGATTGACTGATGTGGGACAGAGATTTTAGAGGAAACCATTAAATGAGTATATTTGGGTCTAGAGGAGTGGAACTCCAGAGCCAGCTTTTAATTGAAGTGGGACAGCATAAAATAACAGTTCAATGCTACTCAGACCTAAAAGACACTTGAATACCTGTAGAACTGAATCCAGAAAGCTGAGAACAAAGAAGGCATGGAGATAGGAAACCTTTGAGCTCTGGATATAGACAGAGGGCACTGCAGGAGGGAGCTGAGAGATTCACTGGCCAGAGAAGAGTGTGTGCTCACTGCAGCTGATTAGTCCTTTGTTCCCTCCACCCCCTCTCAGGATACGTCTGACTCCTGGCTCCCTCTTTACAACAAACTTACAGATCCATCAACAACTTAAAAGATAGGACATTTATACCTTGTGAAAAATAAACAAGCTTGAAGCAGAGAAAAGAAAAACGGGGAATGGGGAATCTCTTTCCGTTTCTTAGACCCAGAGGTTGTTCACAGTATTTGTAAAGATCTTGAATAATATTACAATTAGGGCACTGTACTGGTAGGTTTTGTGTGGCAACTTGACACAAGCTGGAGTTTTCACAGAGAAAGGAGCCACCCTTGAGGAAATGCCTCCATGAGATCCATCTCTAAGGCATTTTCTCAATTAGTGATCAAGGGTAGGAGGCCCCATTGTGGGTGGTACCATCCCTGGGCTGGTAGTCTTGGGTTCTGTAAGAAAGCAAGTTGAGCAAGCCAGGGGAAGGAAGCCAGTAAGTAACATCCCTCCATGGCCTCTGTATCCACATCTACTTTCTGACCTACTTGAGTTCTAGTCCTGACTTCCTTTGGTGATGAACAACAATGTGGAAGTGTAAGCTGAATAGATCCTTTCTTTCCTTTCCAACTTGTTTCTTGGTCATGATGTTTGTGCAGGAATAGAATCCCTGACTAAGACAAGTGCCATTAGGTGGCCATTTGGGTTGATTATGTAAGGGCTGTTGAGGCCACATTCAATTGCAAAAGTGAATAAATTTAGGGCCCTTCAGGTTGCGTGTTAGATATAGAGACTGGAGACTTTTTAAAGGCATCCCAAGGGGGAATGAGCTGGTATGGAAGATATTGTTCCAATGGATGAGAGAGGGGAAGGAAAATGTCATTTCAGCCTGTAGTTGTGGGTGTTCGAGAGCTCAGGGAGGGCCAGAGAAAGATACAAGCCATTCAGTGGGTCATCACCTCACCCAACAGGGGGTCTGGCCTAACCTGGCCAAGCTTAAGAGAGACTCATGGCCTGTTAGCAGGACTTTTCCGTAGAGGCCAGAAGTCAAGAAGGGACTGAGGCCTAGAGCAGAGTGGGAGGGATGGAAAGGGTTGGAGAACAGAGTTACAAAAGCCAGGAGGGCTCAGAGGAGCTGTGGGATTTACCAGCAGCTCCAAAGTGAAGGTTGAAGAATCGGGAAAGAAGGGACGGCAGGATTGAAGCTCCAAGAGGCATGAATCAGGTGATGAAGACCACTGTAGCCTTAAAGATTGTGACTGGGGCACCAGAGGGTGCCAGATACTCAGTGGTCACTTTCTTGAACTCTGGGACGCATTTACACTGACTAAAGGGGAAACTTTAGTTTCAGCTACAGTTGAAAACTAGTTACAGCTGGGGGAATGGATCTTGAGCTGTTTATTGGCCAGCTCGAAGGTGAATCTGATGTGGGTTGACCAGAGATGAGTGATAGGGTACCAATGCAGCATAGACCCAGAGGTAGAGAACAGACACCAGGAGGGCATACCCGAGTCAGAGCATCAAGCGTTCCAGCTCTAAGGAGAAAGGTATATTCTGGCAGTCAGGAGCTAAGGAATACCACAGACACACCAGACAGCAAATCTCAAACAGAGATTTATTGGAAGGGAAAGACCCAGATCTGTTCAGGTGAGAAGAAGCAGAGAACTGAGCAGGTAGGGTTTATATGGGATTTCTTTGGGGACGGAGATTTTCAGGGTGGCCTGGGACTGGTGGGATTCTGTGGTCTGATCTTGAAGGTCAGGGACTAGTGGAGTTTTGTGCTCAGGGAATGGTGGGATTCTGTTTTAGCCTTGGTCTTGGGGTAAAGTCAGGGCGTTCTTTCCTTGACCCTGGTCGTGGGGTAGGTCAGGCGCAGAGTGTTTTTCCTTTGTCCTTTCATCCTACACAAGGAAATCCAACCCCCTCTTCTGACCTCCACAGGCACAAGGCAACATGTGTTGCAGATGTGTACATGCAGGCAAAACATTCACATACATAAAAGAAAATACATTTTAAAAAAAGATTAAATAATGAAATCCTTGTTGAATGTTTGATACTACAGGATGCAAAGTATCTTTGGCATTTTTCAGAATTGATCAATATTTTGATATTTTTTTAGTTGTCAGTGTGGAGAAAGCTGCTTCACATAAATATGCAGTACAAAATGGCAAAAGCATATTTAGGACCATTTCAGAAATTACTGGAATTCTAACCCAATCACAAGCCAAAATTCATTTAATTATCCTTTAAAAAAAAAAGTTGAAGGAACTGGAAAGAGGAGTTAACAGTCAAGAACATTTGCTGCTCTTCCAGAAACCTCAAGTTTGGCTCTCAATACCCATAGGAAGTGGTTCACAGTCCCTGTAACTCCAGTTCCTGGGGAGCTGACACCATCTTCTGGGCTCAGTGTGTATATATATACATATATACACACGCACACGCACACACGCACATGCACACGCACATACACACACACACGGGGGGAAGGAGGGAGGCAGAGAGAGACACAGAGACACACAGATGCAGAGAGAGAGAGAGAGAGAGAGAGAGAGAGAGAGACAGAAGAGACATACACATAAAATAAAACTAAATCTTAAAAAAAATCTCAGACCTTATAGGCAGCCATTTTCAAATCATTTTTCTAAGAATACAATGAATATACAAATTTGAGACTTAAATGCTGAATAATGGCAGTTGGAAAATACTGCCTTTGTTTTTCATAATTTAACAACTATATTCTCTAAGTGCAGAAAAGTTTGTGTGTGCAGTCCAACACCGTGACTCCTAGGACATCTGAGCTGAGGTGTTTCCGACATCGTTGTTAGCATGCTGCAGGGTCCAGGGACATGTGGTGCAAATGTGCACAGTGCATGTTAAGAAAACCAAAGCTACAATCACTTCATGAGGTGCAATGTGAATGAACACAGAAACATTTCAGACGTGTTACACATTTAATTTCAAGTTAGTTTTTGGTCCTTGAGTGTACTGTTGTCAGAAATTCTGTGGTTCTCACATTCAGTTGTATGAATATGAAGTTGCTTGCCACAGTCTATAAATTTGGATTGTAGATAATTGTGTCAACCAGTTTGGAGTTTTCCGTTCACCCTGCTCTGCACTAACGACTGAAGCCTGTCAGCTGTGGTTTCTCGTCTGTAGTCCAGCTTCCCCGCACTTAATAAGGGAAGCCTTGAAAAAGTTCCTACAGAGGAAACCTAAGCATGTGTTGCCCAGTGTAGCGCCCTTCTTTGAACAAAGTCAGATCTACAATTTAAGTCTGCTTTGATCACTTTCCAGTGTCTTCAGTTATTTTTATATTTTGTCCACAGTTTATAACTCTTATCTGTGAGTAGATTAATACAGTACAAGAGAATCCATAATTGTTGGAACAAGAGCTCAACTAACTTTAAATACAAAAGCATGTAAGCTTTTCCAGCAAAAATTTTGAAAGTAAAATGTTTTCATAATTTCAATACATAAGAAGAATATTACGTAAATGAAAGAATGAAATAATTGAAAACAGGAAAAATTGTGTTCTATAGGAAACAAGAAAGGCAAGCATGTAATGGCAGAGATGAGTCTTTAAAGGCTTCTCAGCGGGCCTCTCAGAAATGGAGCAGAATGTAATTATGCCTTCATTACCTTAGAGGCAAGCTGTCACAAATAACATCACCAGGAAGGTCTTTGCCTATAAGTTCAGATCTTCATTCATTGTGTTTTGGAAATATTTTCCATCTGATTTGAAAATTTACATTTCTCGCATTGCTTGGTATTTTGAGCTGTATTATCTTTTGAAGAATAGATGGCAATCTAATCTTCCATTTGCTTTTTTCTTCTCACTGATTTCAGTTGTTCCTGTAATTGACCTTAATGAGGCGAGAGCAGACTGACTAGCGCCAACTCTGGACGTCACCGCGTTACTTCACTCCCCAAGAAGCCGTCCTTTGGAGCATTCAGCTTGACCATATCTGCTTTGAAGACTCACTATGAACAAAGAAGTCTCCCAGGTAGAGAAGGTTTCAAGAACTTTGTCACTGTAAATGTGTGGAGGGAAAACCATTATTACCCGTGGAGCATTTTTTTAATGGTTTGATCTGGGAAACTTCAAGGTTATTGTAAAATAAGGGCTAGTATTCCTCAGTGGAAATGTTGGCAGATAAGCGGTGTGTTTAGAATAAACAAGTTTAAGAGATAAAGGTAAGACTATCAATTGTACAAACAGTCTAAAGACTCTCATATAACAAGATACAATTAGCAGTAGCACAGTACACTTAGATGATAACTGCCCTTGCAGCAGTGAAGAATGTTTATGTGAGATTATGGGTATTAATTCGCTTCACAGTAATAACCAGTTTACTACATATTTGTTTCTGATAACGTCATGACTTAAATGTGCACAGTAAATATTTAAATACAGTAAAACTTAGTGTAAAAATAAGTAAAGGCCCTGAATGAAACAGGTCTCCATTGAAGTTATAAGGAGACCAGGAAGTACAGAAGAAGATGCTCAGAATCATTAGCAATTAAGGAAACATAAATCAAAGCCATAATGTTATACCATTTTATACTCACTGGGGTGAATTTTACCAGGGAGAACTGCTTTGGACAAGCATATAGAATTGTAATCCTCATGTTTTGTCACCTTAAATTTAGCATTTCCCCAGAAAGTTAAGAGTTAATTACTCTATGATATGGCAGTTCTATTCCCAGTTTTACACTCAAGATAATTAAAACTTATATCCACAAATGCTTCTGCATAAGCATTCATAACAGTGTTATTGATAATCCCCAGAAGTGGAATAACTTAAATGTTCACCAACTGATGAATGGATAAGCAGAGTAGAGTATCTCCAAACAATGGGACTTCATTCAGCCTTGAAAGTCAGTGACTATTGTAGTCACAAGTCCCCGTTCTTTGTGGTCACATGAGGAAGGTTCCAGTGGTTGTGGAGAACATGAAGTGTCTGAGGACTCTAGCTTGGGAAGCACTTCCTTACAGAAGCTAGCCTTCTATAACGTGTAGGACCACTCTGTCCTGATTGATTGTCGTATGGAGGATCAGTTTGGGGATCTTTGCCTCTTGGAGTATTGTCTTCATCTTGTGTATTTTTTTTTTTCTGTGCCACTTGTTAGCTGGACAAAGAACACTCTTTTAGAGTTGGTTGTTAGCTAATTGATGCCGTTTTTAAAATTATATGGTTCTATATTCAATCTGAGAGACAAATAACTAATTTGTATGTAGAAAACTTAACTGAATTTTGTGTGTTTTCACCTATTGAGTTTAGTCTGACACATTTGACCAGAGATAGATGTAGTTTCTGGTCACTGAAATTACTCTTTAGAAATTGCATGAAATTGGGTATAATTTAGCAGCTTTTTAAGTCAACAGAGTACTTTTACTTAGACACGTTCAGTCTTGTTAAAAAGTGATATGCAAATTGGCTTTGTTAATTGTCCCAACTTACATCCCCTATCAACCAAATATAAAGTCATTTTCCATACTCATGACAGCTCTGATAGCTTGTCCCATTGGGGGCTTTGTATTACAGTCTATGTTGTGTTTTGTAAGTATAAGACACTTAATACAGGAATCTTGCCATCAACAGATTAGTGGGGGCTCTCCTACAATTCTTTGAACATTGCCTCTTATTTTTGTAAGGTGCCCATTTGGCATCTGCTGCTTTGTCTGCTGCCTTTGCTCCAGAATTTCAGAAAAACTCAGCAGATGTTTAACTTGGGAATCTTGTCTTATGCCCATATTAATAAATACATCTAAAAATACTTACACTTGTTCATGTATGAAAATGAAGTGCCATCTTTACTTCTGTGATACTGAGTTAACCTTAATTTTGCTTCTTTGAATCTCAATGTTAAAAAAATATTGCTTTATTAATAATACCTGTCTAGCTGATATTCTCCCATCTAAGTTCTAGCCAGGCCCAACCCTGGTTACCTTCGATAGCAGACAAGATGAGGATGTTTAGGGGTGTCTGGCTGTCCACATAACTGATAGTCTTCTTTTGAGATTGATTCAGTTACAGAACTCATGTTAACAAGAGCATTGTCAGGGATTTTCTTAGCTTATGTGAGGCCATACCTGGTTCTGTCTCCTGTTCTCCCTCTGACTTCTAGTATTCCATCCCCAGTCCCAGCCAGTTCATTACTGCTTCTCAAAAGGAAACAACAAAATGCTTCTGTTCTGCCTTCATCGTTTTCCTTTGTCACTGCTCGGCTTCCCTCACTTTGCTCCAGCTCACTCTCCTCGCCTGTACCAGCTTCCCCAGCACACCCAGGCAGTTAAACACAATTTTGCCTCATTTTTCTCTGAATACTTACCAGTTTCTTAAATGTGCCATATACATTACATTTAAGATGATAACATTTATATCTCTCAAAATAAAAAGATACTATGAGAACAATGACTTTATAAATTGTATTCGCAGTCGGATGTCTAGGGACTACACCCACTGGAGGTTATTGCATTCATAGAGCTCACAGGACGTTAGAGCTCATGTAAGTTGGACTGCTCCCCACACTGAGGTCAGTTTAAACAAGTTTCCCTAAGTGTGCCTAAAGTTACCTTTGCTAGGAACATAGCATGTAGCCAAGAATTTTATTTTGATTTTTATTGAGGATAAAACTAAAGTTAATATCTGTAATACATTTTTGCATATGCAGATTGCATATTTTGCATAATGTGTTTCTATATAGGTTATATCGTACTATATAGTACGCAAAACATCCCAGCACTTAGACAGAGGCAGAAACAGGTCAATCTCTGTGAGTGTAAGGCCAATCTAGAGTACATAGTGAAATGGTACATACATAAAACAATAAAACACAAGGGGTGTGTGTGTGTGTGTGTGTGTGTGTGTAAAACACTTGAGTGGAAAGGCATTTGTAGTCAGTCATTCACCAAGTTCTGTAATGCACTGATACTGGGTGAACTGTGAAACTGTCTACTCTGTGGAATGGAGGAGATCTATGAGTAATGAGGATTTAGGGACGTGCTTCAGGCATGCTCAGACTTGCCTTTGGTAGATAATATGGTGCCTTTTCAGTGGGTCATTTCAGAAAGACAAAGTTGGAAACTGGAGACCATTTGGAAAACTATTTCTGTAGTCTACTAGATGATGACCTGAACAAAGAAAAATATGAAGGGAGAAGGGAGGTAGATTTAGGAAATGAAAATAGATCCTGGTGTGCTCTTACCTGTAGGATGTAAGACAAGAGGCTAAAATGGTTCAAAGCACACATACACACTCAGACACACAGACACAGCACAGACACACACACACACACACACACACACATGTATAGGAGACATTAGGTACGTAGACCAAGGACAGGCAGGTAATGGTTAAACTGTAAACTAAATCATTTTTTTTCTCCCGTTGCTTTCTTTGATCATCCTTCAGTAGGGCTATCCATTTGACTTTTATGAAAAACAGAGCAGAACAAAACAGTGGTATCTTGGGAATGACATCAGGACAAGAGTGTCTTTCTTCTGTTTATGTGACAGATTAGAAATGAGAAGAAAAGTGAAGGGAACTGAGAAGCAAGAAAAAAATATTAATATTAATCTAGAATCCTTGAGATATTTGGTTTCAAGCTAGGATCATAATTATATCTGAGACTGAAGAAGGAGATAGCATAAAATCTCTTAAAGGCAAAATGTCTTACCACCTACATATAAGACCACACCAGACATAAAAATCTCTTAAGAATGAATTGGCAGAAAATGGATAGAAATGACAAATGATGAATAAACAAGAAAAAAGAATTTAAAAAGTAATTGCAAGATTGCAATCCTAGGAGTGGGAACAGGAACTAGGAAGACTGGGAATTTGAGGCCAGCCTGGACTGCATTGTTAATCACAGGCCAGCCAAGATACATAACAACCCTGTCTAAAGAACAGAAAATACTTGGAGTGTTGGGTAGTTTCAAAACTTATACTTGTAATATAGAGAAATTAGAAACATTTCCTCTTGTCCACATGAAGGAATCTCATGATCAAAATTGTAGGTGTTTTGCATATAACGAGAAGAGGGCAATGGTCTTTAGCCTTGGGACGAGCTCTAGAAAGAGTACATTTTAGAACGAGGAAAGGATTAAGGCTCTGAGAGGCTGCCTTAGGCTTCAGCAGTTCTTTAAGTGTTCCTAGCTCGAGTGTTGACGTTTAAGTGTTGACATACAGTGCTATGTTATTTAGTAACTTAGACTTAAGGAATAGCTCCAAGTCTTATTTCATGAGCTTCCTCTCCTTTCTGAGAATAAATGGAGTAATGAGAAGGTAATGATAGCATTTGGCACTACTGAAATCCAAGGGACTGATGACGCTTAGGCCAAGGGTAGGGCTCTGAGCTTCTTTCAGGATTCTGCAGAGCAGTGACTGATGCAAACAGATCAGCAACTGGCACATGCGAAGACCTGGCTGACATGCAAGGGGAAATGACTGTTCTCTGGCATCTATACTAAGATCCTAACATAGACTAAACATTTGATCTTGGTCTCTGGATGATATAAACACAAGGTTAGAAGTATGGAATTCAGAATGGAAAAGTACAATTCAAAAATCCAAATCGAGCTTATCACTGTAACTATAATCATATTGTATTGTTCATTCTCTATCAGTATAAAATCTCCAGCTTCATGAATAAAGCTTTTTAAAGCCTTTTTACAAAGTAAGGTCTAAATAATAATCTTAAATCTGAATAATAATACTAAAAATTTTCAGAGTCCAGTTTTTTATATTTATACATGCAAGTGATTTTTCTCTTGGTAAAAGTATTTCTACTTAATTATTCTAAGAAAACTTAATTCGATTGCTTATAACCATTTCATAGAAAATTGTTAATTTTATTTCACTGGCTTAGAAAAGTAAGCAAAGCAACAAGTAGCTAGTGTCCCTGTGGCTTAGTTGGAGGTTGATACTTCTGTAATGGCTGTGGTCACTTAGTCCCTGTTTGCAAGTTTTTGTTGTGGTTGTTTTGTTTTTTGATGCTTAGAAATGACAAGGAGGCTTCCCCTGCCCTTATTTAGTTAGACAGGTCATAAGAGATTTATTTTTCTTACCCTCTCCGTTTAGGTGTGAAGTTCATCAACATGAGTGGCCTTGGGGACAGTTCATCCGACCCTGCAAACCCAGACTCACACAAGAGAAAAGGATCGCCATGTGACACACTGGCATCAAGGTAGGAGTGTGCTTGTCTCTGGCAGAGCTTTGTCATTTCTCCAACGCTTTGGACTTTGTTTCATCTACTCCACATTGAGTGGCCACCTGCCTCCTCCTGCTCTTCAGCACAGTCTGCCCCACCCCCACCCAGATCCTTGAATGTGCTTCTCCTTCCTTCCAACTTGCATCCTCTTTACTTCCAGTATTAATCTGTAGCTGTTATTGCAGATGCTGTGGTAAGCCATTACTTCCTTAAAGGGAGGCTTCTCTTCCTCCCACAACTAGTAGCTCCAATCTCCCCTTTTTGGATATCTGTCCTGTACATCTTTATGGCTTTGATTCATAGTTACTGGCTGTTGCTAGAGTATCTGCTCATTGCATGAATTCTTAGTTTCTCTGCTAGGCTATATGCTGCTCTAAGGTAAGGGACCTATCTGCTCATACGCACCACCACTGCATCCCTAGTTCAGGGTGCAGTATGTGCCTTTTAACTAGTAAGGACAGTAAATCCTGCCAAACGAATAAATAAGTCTGTTGAACATCTTTAAATGTTATCTTAGGAACTAAAAAGTACATTGTTCTAATATTTATGTTAAAATAATTATTTGTGGCATTAACTACTTGTTGTGTTTTTTAAAATGACCACATTAAGGAGATGAAAAGAAATTTCATGCTAAGGGAACCCTAACAAGTGCCAGATGAAGGAGAACCTCACTCAGAGCAAAAGCGTTTTCTCAGCTAACAGGAGGAAAGTCCAGGTTTTATTCCATTTGGTTTCTAGGAACTATATCAAGTTTTTTTTTTTTCAGTTTCTGCACTGCTGACATTATGAACCAGAAAATTCTTTGCTGTGGAGGCTTCCCTGTGTGTTGTAGGATGCTTCGTAGTGTTACTGCTTGTACACTGAAATGCCAGTAGTGTCCCTAGTCGTAATAACAAAATGGTCTATAAACATTTCCAGATGCTCCCCAGGGCCAAGGAAAGCTGATGATGACACTGGTCTCAGAGGAGAGCTGCAGTGGCACTGCACAGCATCGTTGCAGCTAGTAATGCCTGTTTTTCTCTCAAGGAGGGAGGCGAGAGGGTTTTAAAGAATGCTAGGGCTAGCGACTGGAAAAGGAAGCTGACCGACTGTTCCTCACAGGGCAGTCACCTAAGTCCTCCAGCACATGTGTCCAGATGCTAGAATAGAGGTACATGCCAAGATGTGCACCAGATGTGTGTTGTCAAAGTACATTGTTCATTTCTATGTATAAATTCAGTCTTTCCTAAATGAAAGCTTAAGGATAAATAAAATATTATCTTTTATGTTTCATTTCTCATTCGAGAAAAATTTGAATATATAAGAACAAATACTAAAAAGCTATATATATAATAACCATATAAAATCTATATGTTGCCATATTAACATTTTATTATAATTGCTTTTTTCCATTTTTGTGATTTCTTTGTTTTGTTTTAGGGAGGGTTTCATTCTGTAGTCCATTCTAGCCTTGAACTTGGGCCAGTCCTCCTACATCAACTTGAGGAGTGCTGGGATTCTAGGCATACACCATCATGCCCATACTGTATTTTTGAATTGATAGTTACTAGTGGATATGAATGATAACAGCTGTGGGCATCAATAACATATCTGCCTATTATGCTGAACAATCCTTTCTTGTAATGGCTTATCTGTAAATTGTCTTTGTTTTGTTCTGTGTGTATGTGTGTCTGTACATGATAATATCATTACAAATACCAAAATTTGTATATATTCTTTTTCTCCTCTTTTGATGTTTTGAGATAATTATCTTGATGTTTGCTTGAAAGATATTTCGAAGCACTGACTTCTTCAGGTTTATATGTATGGGCTTCAGTTTTAATAAAGCAATATCTTTGATATGGAAAATCAAAAATGTATTGCTTTGAAATGGCTTGTGTATTAATGCTACCTTGCAATCCTTCCTCTGGTCTTATTATTATATGCTACCTCCCCAAACAGACTGTGAGCTCATTAATCATAAAGAGCATCTGTTAGGCCTCACAAGATATTGCCAGCCCTGTGGCAGTGCCAAGCATTACTGTCTACAGAGCCCGAGACAGAGTGACTTCTCAGTTAAACAGTTTCTTGTGGTGAGGTAGCTTCTATCTCTTCAATCCCTCATTTGTTCTAAAAAAAAAAAAAAAAGAAGAAGAAGAAGAAGAAGGTTAAGGCGCTAGTTTTAAATGGTGGCTAACTATGCTTTATCCTTCTTGAGCATTTCCAGCTTAACTCAACAAGTGCTTATTAAATGCTAACTGTTCAGCCAACACCATCTGTGTGCTGTTATAAGGATAGAAATGAAGTGAGAGACAGGTTTTCTATCTTTGAAGAGCTTACAGATCTAGCCACACCATTAATTCCTCTTAAATCCTCTTGGGTTCCCCATTTTCTTAAAAATAAAACATTGTAATTAAAGTCATACTAGATGGCATTTATTGAGCTAATAGGACATGCCAAGAACTTAGCAATGCATTTTACACATCTTATCTTTTTTAATCCTCACAAACCCTAGGAGGTAATTAATGTCATTATCCCAGTGGTACAGATGAAGAAATTGAAGCAGAGAGGTTAAACTGCTGTTCACTTGTCTGGGGTTTTTGATAGCTTGTTAGTGCCTGCAAGTTTCAGCCTGTGCTCCTGAGCAGTAGTCACACTGCACAGGACAGGCCAAGGTCACTGTGGTCTGCCTCCACTGCCTCTTGCCCATGCACTTCTGTGGTCAGCTATACTCGCCTGTTATGTATCCGTTTTGGACTTCATATTTCCACTCTCATTTTATACAGTTGATAAAGCCAAGTTACCTTCTGGAAAATGAGATCTTTCTACCTCTAACTTAGTGCCATTCTTTCTCTGGGTTTAGAGTCATTTTGTGTGTTTCTGTAGAGTCTGATTTTTGTCATAAAGTATTCAATGGTCTGTTTCCTTTTATTTCCTTTCTAGTGGGAGCTACATCTAATTTACTTCAGAGTGCTTAGAAAACTTCACATGCTTATCTGTTATATCATTGCTAGTACATTAATTAAGGAAAGATATAGCAGTCCCTCCATATCCATAGGATCAAAAGTATTCTGAAAAAAATGGCATCTATACCAAATGTGTATCAACTTTGTGTAGTGCTATTACCTAAATATAGTATAACAACTACTTATATAGCATTTGCACTGCTTAAGGTATTGTAAGTAATACAGAGATGGCTTAAGCTTGGGGAAGAATTTTCATAGTCTATGCAACTATACCATTTTATGTAAATGGTTTGCAAGTGCTCATATTTTGATGTCCACGGGGAATCCTGGAACTGGTACCATAGAAAATTGTGAGGCTTACTGAACTCATGAGAATTTAGCTCAGGATAGCGTTTACTAGCATGTCTGCCACATAAAAGGTAATAAGGGGTTTAGCAAATGAAGAAAGTTAATCTAAAGTAGTAAAGGGGTCTTTTCCATTAAGAAAAAGGTTTTATATTCTACATTCCTTCAATGTTGACTTAGTGCACGTCTGCTGTCTTTTTTCCCTAGGTAGTTATTGGCTGCTTCACTTAAAGATGATTTTCATTTCCCTACTCTGAGACTTAACTCATTTTATTGGCACCTGCTATTCTTTACTCTGTATAGTTTCTTGTTCCATCTCCTCTCTATGTTGGAACACTTTTCTTTTACTCCATAATGGTTTCATGCATTTCAATATTACCTAAAACTTAATGGCAAAAACACGTTTGGTGGCTGAGTACAGAAGCACACACCTGTTTTCCCAGCACTCTCAAGGTAGATGGAGGTTGATCAACAGTTCAAGAATAGCCAGGACTGTAGAGTGAGACATTCTCAAAATAAAACCAACAAACAAAACATATCTGGGAGACCCACCAAGCAAATCTAAATTGATTTCCCCTATTGAAATTTAGACCTTTAAGTTTAAACAGCTCCCACTCTATACTGATCTATTAAATGTGTCTGCTGTCTATGAGGTTCCCTGAGGTAAAATCACATGTCCTCAAATACTATCGTGTTACAGATCAACCCTTCTGCATATGAAAATATGTTCCTCATTTTATTCCTGCTTTGCTTCAATGCCTCAGAGTGAAGTTTGTTGGGATGCCTTGCTGTGTTCTGTTTAAGTTATTAGAGTTTTACTATGCAAAGTGGAAATAATTCCTCGGTAATGAAAGATTTAACAGATAAAGACAGAATGTACGGTTGTTATAGTTTCAAGTCTGACTGTGTTTGGGGATCTGTACCATTTGTTAGTTCTTTGATTTATAGCAAATGCAGTAAATTAGTTGACTGGGTTACTAAAGCTCACAGTGCTGTGTAAGTGCCTTTGCTTTTATAGTCTTTAAAATTTTTTAAGGAAAGTAAATTACTTTTTTAATTGTCGTTTATTGTAAGGTTTTTAGCAACTGATTTTCTCATTTCTCACTTTTTTTCTACCACTTTTATGATTAGTCAAATGATTTTAACGCTTGTCATGAATAGTTTTTCCTGTTTTATTTAGATAATGGAAAGTTTCAGAGTAATATTTTACCATCATTGAATGCATTACCTAAAGCAGATTGCTGGTGACTTGGCAAAATAAATTAGGAGTAAAGATTGAAAACCAACAGTAATCATCCATATATTCAGGAGACTTCTTTTAAAGTATTGCTGGTGACTCGACCCTCTGTCCTTTTTGTTTTGCATTTGACTTGGTTTTAATGTGGACAAGAACTTACATGTAGGTTTTCTTTTCTGTTATATTTAGAAGGAAGCTGTGACCCACTGCTTGCTGCTCTTTCTCCAGCTGATTTTTAGAGTCTACTTTTGAATAGTTTCTGTTTCATGAGGGGCAATGATTGTTCCTATCAGAATAAGAATGAAAGGCTTATGAGAGTCCTCATTACAGTTTGTCTGAACTATAATCACACAGTACCACTTAAACTGAACAAAATTACTTGAACATTCCCATTCTATTTCAAATACACAGTATCCCGAAACATAAGAAGTATATTTGCTTTCTGTCTAGTTCCTTTAATATCTGTAGTGGTTTGTTATCTGAAAATAATTGAGGTATATACATTGTTAGCAAACCCATCTGTCATAGCAGTCATCTTCACATATTTTAGCCAGAATTATTTTGTGTACTTAAGGATTTTTCTAGTGTCTGAGTTTTAAATGTAATTTTAATTTGATTTTTTAAAATCTGGTTTTATATTTTAGGTAAAAACAAGATTTCCTTCAAATGTGCAAACATTAATATGTTTGATCAGAAAAGGAAATAATATGGTATAAATATGTACTAACTGGATTTTTTCTTCTATGTGTGTCTGTGTATAACAGTACTGAGAAGAGGCGCAGGGAGCAAGAAAATAAGTATTTAGAAGAACTAGCTGAATTACTGTCTGCTAACATCAGTGACATTGACAGCTTGAGTGTAAAACCAGATAAATGCAAGATCTTGAAGAAGACAGTAGATCAAATACAGCTAATGAAGAGAATGGAGCAAGGTAAAAATAAAATAAAGGCCATGTTCTCAGTTGTTGCGATGTTTATGACATATTGTTCTACCTTTCTGTTATTAAGAGCCCATGTTGCTTTATGCTTTTAGTAAAGAAATGTTTTTGTTTAGACAAATTTTGTTTTATTTTATTTTATTTTATTTTATTTTATTTTATTTTATTTTATTTATTTTTTGGTTTTTCGAGACAGAGTTTCTCTGTGTAGCCCTGGCTGTCCTGGAACTCACCCTGTAGACCATATTGGCCTTGAACTCAGAAATCCGCCTGCCAATGCCTCCCAAGTGCTGGGATTAAAGGCATACGCCACCACTGCCCGGCTGACAATTTTTATTTTATTGAGTCAAAAATTCTTTCTTGATATTGCAAAGTAGCTTACTAAATTAACTTGAAAACTAGTGAAGTAGTTGAGCAAGCTTGGAATGTTTTGGAGCCCATGTCATAGGACCTCAAGCAGAAACACAAGTTGTGGGCGAGATCTGAGGCCCTGGCATCCAGCTAAAGTACAGTAATTCTTGATGAAAATCTCTCTGGCTTGTCTGAGGAAGCTTGCCTCTGCCTGGCTCACAGTGGGGAAGAAGTACTCTGGGGGCAGGGGATCCCATTGTATTTTTTGAGATTTATATTTATAGCACCCATACTTGATAGGACCCCTACACCATTAATCCTTTGGATTACTGCCAGAAACAAAGGTAAAACACTCTGACGAGCACTCTGGCTCATAGGGTTCTGTAGAGTTTTCAGGTGAGTGCACTGACTCACACACATTATGTATGAGGAGATCTGTGGTGAGTAGAACACAAGCCCTAGGACCTTCCCAGTGATCACAGAAGTGTGAGAAGACTCAAGTGCCATGACTTAAAGACCTTAGAAACTAAGGGTAGTCTAGTAACAGCTGAGTTAGCAAGGAGGAGCAACACTAGCATCATTGCCTGCTCTTACTATCCAAAACCAGAGAGCAGGATTTTCTGAGGAAACCCAGCAGTCTCAGGAAAGAAGCATTTGGGGTGATCCCTCATGAAAACTTAACTCTTACTACATTCTAGTCACCAGGTGACATTTTTATGCATCTCACATGAACAAAGCCACAGGCATCTCAGGAAAGCCAGTGGTTACAAAAAGAAAAGCAGGAAAGAGGAAGTGCAGGGGAAGCAGAGGCAGCCATGAGGGGCAGCAACAAAACTAGTATGTCAGTCCCTCAGACAGAGGAGACATTGCACCCTTGAAAGATGGTAACTTTTGGAAGTCAAAACAGGGTGCTTGGAAAAATCTCCACCACATTACTGTGTTTCTCTTCTTTGTCTCTTCATGCTGTCAGCCTCAACCACCATAGGGACACTGGTCAGTCAGGCTAGCTCTTCCATCCATCTGATGTTCTCTCCCTAGGTCCCCACTGCCCATGCCCACTCTCACCTTTTCTTGTCCTTTCTCAAATGACTTCTCATCGAAAGTATTCCCAACTGTTCTTCTTTAAAAAAGAAAAAAAAAAAAAAGGTTACGTGGAAAATATATGTATCCTTCTATGCCTTTCTTGATTTCTTTTTCCCACAGAACTTTTTACATCTGCCATATAATTTAATTTTAAGTAATCTCTTAGAAAGTAAGATAGACAGAGAAGTAATAGAAAATAAAAGAAAAAGCTAGCAAAATGTAGAGGATTGATTAAAGACTAGGTAGAGGATAACAAATGATAAGAGGGATTTTAAAAAAAAAACCTTAAAAACAACAACAAACATTTCTTGAAAACAGAAGGCTCTGATTCTGGATCTAAAACACTCCTAAGCTGGACTTGCTGGATGGAGCACACCTGTAATCCCAGCAGTTGGGATGCTGAGGCAAGAGAAACACAAGCCTACATCGGCCTGTCCTGCGTAGGGGGCCCTATCTCAAGGAGATGGGGCAGGGGCGGGGACACACACTCAAACAGGCCCAGCACAGTGAGTACAGAATGCTCACACCCATGCACAATGTAGTGATACATTAAAATACCAAGGGAAAAAAACCAAAGGAGAGGTCGATCTCAAGCATAACAAATTGTTTTCAGAACAGGTTCAAAGTAATATTACCAACAAGACTCTAGACCTGTAACTCTGTGTACGTGATGAATTTATGAATGGAACAGGAATTTTAAGACAAAATCTCAGCCGGGTGGTGCCGCATGCTTTTAACCCCAGCACTTGGGAGGCAGAGGCAAGCAGATTTCTGAGTTCGAGGCCAGCCTGGTCTACAGAGTGAGTTCCAGGGCAGCCAGGACTACACAGAGAAACCCTGTCTCGAAAAACAAACAAACAAACAAACAAAAAACCAAAAAGACAAAGTCTCTAAATGCTATCTTTTCTAATGTTTTCTAAATGCTATACTCTTTTCAGAAACTGCTATCAAAGCCTTAGTACTAAATTAAGAAACAAAGACATAGGATCTTAGCCCGGGGAAACTAGAAACTGAACACAGAGAAATGGGGAAAGGAGACACAGGCATTACTGTTGTGTAGACCCCTAAAAACAAAGCATGAGGTAGGAGGTAGTGGTGCACACCTTTAGTCCTAGCACTTGGGAGACAGAGACAGAAGGATCTCTGTGAGTTCGAGGCCAGCCTACAGGGAGAGTTCCAAGACAGCCAGGGTTACATAGAGAACCCCTGTCTCTAAAGAAAACAAAGCAACAAAACAAACAAACAAACATAACCCTCAAACCATAAAAACAATTGCAGTTGCAGCAAGCAGAAAGGGGACTCAGAAGATGCTGCTGGATTGCAGGCACATAGGACTGTCTGATAGATGGTCGGGTTTAGGGTTAGTAATGTGGCTGTTGCTTTGATTTGGGTGTTTGGTTGTTTGTTTGTTCGTTTTGTTCTGTTTTGAGACAGGATCTCACTATGTAGCTCTGTCTGGCCTATATCTATTTAGAACAGGCTGGCTTCAAACTCATAGATGTTGAAACTTAGCACCATCTCCCCAGTGCTAGGTGTGCTATCATGCCTGGCCAGAAAAATTTTTTAAATCAGGGGGAGTGTTTAAGGATGAGCTAAACAACACAAACTATTTGAAAACTAATTTAAAACTACATACTAAATATAATATATAAAAATATATAAATAAAATAGATGATATACAAAATATAACATACACGTGGATATACTTATAAAATATATTTATGACCATTGTTATAGAGATGTTAAATGTTGACTAATAAAAATGTAATTACATATCTGAGAGGGTATAATACAGGAGGTATAGATGCCACAACTTGGACAAAATGTGATGGCTTGAACAGGATGGTCCAGGTAGGAGTCCAGGATTCAGATCCCCTGTGGATGTGGCTGCCATTCGTAGGCTGTTCCCATCACAATGTGTAATAAACATGGCTGACATGTCTGCATCCCAGCTGTCCAGATTAAGGTAGAGTAAGACAGACAAGTGTGCATTTTTCCTCTAGAGACAGGATCCTGAACTGTCCATCCTTTCTGCTCCTGTTCCCTAGGTCATCCCCTGACACATAACTATTCCTGTCTTCAGTTTTCCTTAAAATTTTAAGTGCTTTGTGTTCACATGCAGTAACTTAATCTGAATGAACTTAGTGAGTTTTGATTTTTTTATAATTTGCTTAAATAATAAATCTTTCCTATACCAATAATATAAATCTGTATGTCTTTGTAAACTGGCTCTGATGAAAATGAGCTCTTTGGATGTATAGTTTTTCAACTTTGATTATTGCAGAGAAATCCACAACCGATGATGATGTGCAGAAGTCCGACATCTCGTCGAGCAGTCAAGGAGTGATAGAGAAGGAGTCACTGGGGCCTCTTCTGTTGGAGGTAAGTGTTCTTGCTGACCCCAAAATGAAAATCTTTGTCCTTACCAATTTAATGTCATACATCCAATTAATAAATTATGAAACAAAATAGTTCTTTAAACTTTTACAAATAGGATTTGATTATAAAGGCTGCTTCATAGTTGTTAATTCAGAATTACTATGAGTAATAAACATAAATTTGCTTCATATAGGTATTTCAAGGAGTCTCATGCAAACCAAAGCCTATATAATGGAGTAGTTAGAATTATCTGAGAAAAGAAACTGAATTAGGTCATCACCTGATACATAACTAGTTTAGCTAGCTAGTACAATGTATGTATACTATAGAATTTCACCTTTAAATGAAAGATCCTCTCCTGCATTAGACTAAATACTGCCCTAGAACATTTTCTGAATAAAAAAGTTTACATTGATTTTATACACACATGCATACACATGTACATATATCCACATATGAATGAGAATTAAATTACCATCAAGCTTCATAAAGTGAAGAACTTTTAAACTTGAATTATTTTGCAACTACTGTATTATTTTATCTCTGTTTGTTTTCTCTCATTCCTATTGCCTGGATTTTGAGTGTAAATGCTGTTTCCAAACCAATTGATCACCATAAACACCTTCTCTCATACATGGATGTTTGAAGCACTTATCTATGTATACATGCACATGCTTTTCTGTCTCAAAAACAAATTGCATATTTATTTACAGAGATATGCAAACTAAATTCTTTCCCTGTCCTTTCTGCAGCCAGGGGGTCTTACTAACAAACTTGTACATTTCTGTTGTCTAAGTCTTGAATACAGTTTGTTCTGTTTCCATAGCTTGCATATAGTCTCCTCTGGTCAGGAGTAGTGTTGCCTTCTTAAAGAGACTTTACTCAAGGAATCTTTACCCACACTGTGGGATCCTTACTCTGGTTTTAACCTTTGTTAAATTTCTTTGTTGTCTTTGCTTGCTTGGGTACTGTAAAGGTATTGGAAATCATGTGTTTTATTCCAAAACCTTTGTCCAGTGACCTTAAGTGGCAATCTCATTTAGATCCAGGGCACTGCAAGAAGTCTTACCCAGTATGAGCCCTGCTGTGAGGCCAAGGTGGTTCTCCTTAAAGGGTGACATCCTGGGCAGATGGCAAAGCTCTCAGATTGATTGTGTTGTACTTAATGGACAAGCATTTGCTATCATCTCTGTATGCAGCACATCGTAAGGCCAGCTGTCGGGAAGCTTCCTCCCCAGGAGCACGTGTGAGTGAGCACGTGTGAGTGAGGCTTGTAGAGAAAGAATAATGATGGCAAATTGTCTTCATCAGACAGAGTTTAGGAAATAGGGATGTTTGAATATTCATAACACTAGCCCCCAAAACAGTCCTGAATTATTATCATTTTTATTTTTTCACTAA